ACACAGGCTCCGGACGCACAGGCTCAGCGGCCATGGCTCACGGGCCCAGCCGCTCCGCGGCACGTGGGATCTTCCCGGACCAGGGCACGAACCCGTGTCCCCTGCATCGGCAGGCGGACTCTCAACCACTGCGCCACCAGGGAAGCCCCTACAAATATATTTAATGGTAACTTTTGTCTCCCACCTAGTTTTCTTCTCTCATGACAGTCTCTAGAAAGCAAATTCCAGGAGGGCAGTGTTCACTGCTCAGCACATAACAGGGCTCAATAAATTTTTGCAGAATGAGTCTTTGTTGACCATTCATACTTAAAAAAAAATAAGACTTAAAGTTAGTCTTAAAAACTTCTATAATGAGATGATAAACACCAAATTCTTCTTTTATTTTTACCAGGAAACTGCCATTTCTAAGAGCAGAACCACACTTTGATGCTCATTTGTTCTCTTTTAAGGAGAAAAAAGTAGGTATGTTTCTATAATGGCTGCTTCTTTCTGGGCTGCAAAGGGCTTCACATATGCACCGAGGCTTAGGGACTGGTCACTTCCAGGATCCCGTTTAAGTTCTGTCTATGGGATTTGGGTACAGAGAAAACTTGATGAAATCAGATCCACAGGTTCCTCACACCTCTGAGCAGGCCAAGTGCAAGGTCTCAAGTTAGGAAGAGAGATGGCACAGGCCGGTATGTACACAGAAAGGAAACGGAAGCCTTGCTCACACCCCACCCCCTGAAGAGTCCTCTGTATCTCAGATTGCATCTTATTTTTCTTTTCCTGACAGACGTCAAAAATTTTTTTAAGTAACATTTTCCACTGAAAAGAAAGATAAAAATGAGTGGCGGTGTCAAGATGGAGCTTATGTGAAGAGAGATGGGAAATACATCTGTCCTTCCCTAACTTTCCGCAAGTTCATAATATATATTTAAAACCCAACCAGAGGAGGAGGGGGGTTGTCAGCTGTGTTCTCTAATCTCCCTTAATCTAGACTGTCTGCGGAAGCATCACAGTGATCACTGCTGGCATCTGAGGCCCACCCCACAGTCCCTGGGAGCTGAGAACCAAGGCCGTACGCGATGTCTGGCGACTCGGGCTCTTCCAGCTGCAGCTCCTTGCGCATGGTTCCCTCGATCTCCGCCGCCAAGGAGTCCTGGGAAAAGCCGGGAGACACACAGTGAGTGAGCAGCAATTCAAGTGCTCTGTCTCTAGAAGAGGCGCGAAGACAGCCTGGACACAGAGCATAAACCGAGGCCTCGGAACACAGGGTGACAGCATCTGCCACGGGCAAAACGCCAGGCTGAGCGATCCCCATGGAGCTGAGTGTAAAGCCCCTTTGCTCCTATGAGCTGAGGGTATGATAGCAAACCCTATGTTCCCTGGGCTAAACCATGGAGCTGTGGCAGTGACCACAAGAAGAGGCAGAGAGCTTGCTGGGGAGGACCTGAGTGATGGGTGCTGTCATTTGGGCTCTGCTCTTGTGATCCCTGGCCTCCGGCAGGGAAAGCTCCTATGCCCACCAACCATCTGTGGCCCACCCACCTTTAACAACCAGCTCACGTCTCATTTCTGCCAGGAATCCTTCATCTCCTCCCCAAGGAGACAGCAAACACATTAGGACCTTTGCCAGTTCTCTGAACAGTCCACTTGCGTCTTTCTCAAGCCAGGTTGTGAATTTGTGGGTCTGGGGAAGACCAGTCATTGAGGACTTCTCACCTCCTGGATGGGCCAAGCCCCAAGCTCAGACTCAGCAATGGAGGGGTCTGCTGAGTACCCCTCTCCCTGAACCGCCCACCAGGCCTCACTGGGTGAAGCGGAGGCTGACAAACCATCCCTCGTGCTCACGCAGGTGGATGCCGATAGGACCAGGATATGCAGAAAAGCACCTGCTGAGGCCTCAGAGGAGGACACCACCTAGGAGAACCTGAAGAGAAGGGCTAAATTCGTGCCGAACAACAGAACTTCCTGCAATGACGGGAATGTTCTCTTTCTGCACCATCCAGTATGGGAGACACTGGCCACAGGTGGCTACTGAACGCTTGAAATGTGACCAGTGTGACTGAGGAACTGAGTTTTTTTTTGTTTTTTTTTTTTGCGGTACGCGGGCCTCTCACTGTTGTGGCCTCTCCCGTTGCGGGGCACAGGCTCCAGACGCGCAGGCTCAGCGGCCACGGCTCACGGGGCCAGCCGCTCGCGGCATGTGGGATCTTCCCGGACCGGGGCACGAACCCGCGTCCCCTGAATTGGCAGGTGGACTCCCAATCACTGTGCCACCAGGGAAGCCTGGAACTGAATTCTTAACTGCACTAATTTTAAGTGATTTAAATTTACATAGTCACATGTGGCCCGTGGCTTCCCAGCTGACAACGCATGGGGCCTCCTCCACGGTATCCACCTCCAGGGCCCCCCAGTCCACTGGGGATGCTCCGGTCTGGAATTTGTAATTTTTAAGCTAGTTTATTCTTCTTAATACTGTTTACATTCCAAGTTCTGCACAAGGGAAGGACCTTCATACCACTTAAGAGAAACAAGATACCAAACTACTAATGACACTGCTGTTCTGGAGGAAAGTCACAAGCAAGGTCTGTGACATTTGTGGCCACGATCCCCCCCGGGCCATCTGGAGATGAGCATGGATCCCTTCTCAGAATAATGTTTTTAAATGAATAAAATAATTAGGATTAAAGAGGAAGTCAGATATACTGAGTTAATTACTAAAATATTAATAACTGCAAGTATGATAGAGTAACACACAGGATCGGGTTTCAGGACTGGTAATGACTGTCACTTTGAAGCGGAGATTAGCACAGGTGGTGTCTTGGGACATCTGTGGCCACTGACATGTGCTATGAAGAGAGCTGTGATTTCGAAGGACGACAAAGTCACGGGGATGCTAATATCACTGTGGTTTGTTACCTACCTTCATGAAGGAAGGAAACACCAAGTACAGTTAGGCATTAATGAACATGTAAGATATAATCCTCCCTCGAAGTTCAAGGGCCCACTGAATCCTGTCTGTAGATCCCAGATTAAGAACTCTTGGCCATAACACAAGAGAATTGGGAACATACTTGAGCAAAACCTGCTACTCACTGTTTTATTCAGCAGTTAGAAGGGCTGGGAGCAAGAGAGGCAGATCCGGGTGTTGTGCTCCAGAGACACAGGCATGATGCAAGATTTAGATTGCCTTAAATACCTTTCATGCATAATGCACTTTAAAAATAGCCGTCTTCAAAAACTGAGCTCTGCCAACAGCAGAAAAAGGGCAAACCAAAGCTCCACCTCAGCAAATAATAAACGCTGAGAATCAATCTCTCCAGAAGAAACCCAAATGCAGACTTTCAATTCAACTTTTCTTATGTCCTGGTTTAGCTTTAAAGTACAGGTCTGTCCTTGAGAGCAGGAACACAGGAGAGTGAATCCCAGGCATGCAGGAAACAAGATAGCCCCAGGAGATGTGAAACCGGGAAGGAGGGAAGGTGAGGCAGGGAGTGTACAAAGCTACACGGGCCCGTCTGTGAGCCGAGCATAGTCAGCTCTAGATGGGGATTCAGGGGATATATTGTCCTTTGCTGCCTTCATTGGGATTCTTGGAATCACTGGATCCCCAATCTGCTTCTTGGAAAGCTGACTATTTACATTGTGTCTTTCTTTTTGGTTTCCCTTAGATTTCAATCAGGTGGAGAGAGAGCGCCTGACTTTACGAAATCAAAGAAGAAAAGGAGATCATGATTTAGAAAAAGTGGTCAGACAGCAAGGGGTTGGGTGACAGTGTCTGCAATGGGGAGGGGGAATCTGTGAAGAAAAAAGAGCCCTGAGTAAAGGTCAATTTGAAAGGGACCAACTTTCACAAACATTTATACAGCCCTCCGCTCCTATTTTATTTAGGGGAGTTTCTCTCAAAAGTTCTTCTCTCCTCAGAGAGAACTGGTATCTCATCAAAGCATGGAAATAGAGCCTGAAAAGTTCTTGGTGGTTTGCTTTTCAGTCTGTTGATCCAGCCATCCAGATCTATTATCTAGTAAGCACCTACAACTCTACAACATACCAAGCACTGTGCTAGGTGCAGAGTATTAAAGAGGAAGGAGGAAAGAGCACATAAGACATGGTCCCCACCTTCAAGGGGCCCTAGTCTGACAGAAGAAGATAAAATGAGAAATTTCCCCAAATACTACTGGGAAATGACCAGCAGGGGGGCACCACCCTGTGCTGCCCATAGGGAGAGGCCAGCCTCCTGGAAAGCCCCCTTCTCAACCACATTCCCCTAAAGCTTAAACATGAAACAGATCAGGCCAGGGTTCAAGAAATAAGATTGTGGGGAACTAAGAGGAAAAATATAAAAATGTCACACTGTGCCGAAAGAAACGGAAGAACAGCTTCAGGGCTAACAGCACATTTTGGCTTCTGTAAGAAACTTGCTTTGCTTGCTTGCTTGGGGCGGGAAGAACCGGGTTCCTGATTGGCTGATTCAAAATTAAACAGCTCCCTCCCGCCTTGGGGACTTCCCGCCCTGTGAAGGGTATAAAAGCCTCGCCCGACTGTTAGTCGGGGTCTCACTCACTTCTCTCCGAGTGGGACCCTGTCCGGACAGTTTGTGTAAGCTTCTATACTTGCACTTGTATAAATCCTTTGCTAATCTTTCTGCTTGGTGTTGGTGATTCTCGGGTGTCCTTGGTTGGGACACGGGTCGCATTTACCGGGGAACTCGACTCCAGGCGTGTGGCTCCCGGACCGCAACAACACCCAGCATAGAGGGAAATCTTTTTTCAGATCACAGATGCCGAAAGCCACCAGAACGGTTAATAAGCATACAAAGAACCAGCGGAAGCTTAAGGCAATTTAAGAATTCTCGAATGAGCTTGTGAGCCCAATATAGCACATACTCTAAAAAGGTCGGGGTGGGGGGGGAAATAACATAGAGTGCCTTCCAAATACCTGAGGTGCCTACTAAATCTGGTTCCTACTAAATTTATCTTCCAGGGGCAGGAGAAGAAAAGACAGATTCAGAGGGACGGAAAATAAAGAACCAATTCGTCTCACGTGGTTAAGAAGCCACGGGCTGGGCTCGCGAGCCCTCATCTTGGATCCAGATCCAAGCTGCAAAAGGAGAAGCCACCTGCAGAGGCTCAGCTCCAGACCCGCCCTCCTCCCAGGAGCACCCGCTGGCCTGAGGGTGGGAGGTGGGGGTCAGGCAGCAGGCGGGCACTCACCATGGGAAACAGGCCCAGCGAGTGGTAGCGCCTGGACGTGGTGTTGGGCATGGTCTTGTTCCGGAGGTTCTTGAGCTCTTCCTGGGCCTCGTGGAGCATCTCCATGCACTCGGCGTACTTGTCCTCCAGCTCGCGCAGCTGCCGGACACCAGGAAAGGGCAGAGGGCTGGGATGTGAGACCTGGTACCACCCACCCACCCACCAGGATCACTACCAGAGGCTCCTGCCCTCCACGGGACCAGCTGCCCTGTGTCCTGAGGCCTAAGAGTCCTCAAGGCACAGTTTTTCTTTTACTTGCAGACTGGGAAATCTCCTAAAACACTAACGAGCAACTGAGAGGAAACAAACGCGAGGGCAAATCATCACTCCCTCGTTTCCTGCCACGTCTTTCAACGGGGCTCCTCTGACACGGCGTGCTCTGTGTCCTTTCCTTTATTGGAACGTTTGTCGGGGGCCCGTGCGCGCCGGGCTCCAGGCTGGTGTACAGCCCAGCCTCCCAGGTGCTCACGACCAGCGTCAGCTCAACTGGGAGCTGCCTTAGGAGTAAGAATGACATTCAATTCAAAATCAGAATGGTTGTTAAGATGGGCGGGACCCACACAGCCTGTTGGAGGGAGGCTGATGTACCCCAGCTGGGACCGGGGCCCTGATGAAATGAGGAAGAGCCACTCACCTCGGCCGTGAGCTGCCGCTGGGCATCCTTGGCGGCCCCCAGATGTTGGGCAAGTTCTTCATTTTCCACTGCACACTAGAAGGTGGCAAAGGGAAATCAGCTTCTCTTTTAAGACACGTAGAAAAGTCTAACTTTTCCCCCTCTTATTCCCTGATCCGTTATGATCCCATCACATGTCCACAGGGAGATTTTATCTTATACTGGAGTAACATTTTGTCTTTTATATAGTTTGGAAGGCAGCGTATTTCCTGTGTCCATGTTCATTCCCTATCGCTTACCCCTACCCTCCACAGTCACAGCTGCTCTCTGGAAGCATTTCACCTCAGGCCTCTAGCAAAGGCCTGACGTGGGGAAACTTAATTGTTTTTTCGCTGCTTCATCTTAAATCTAAAGGGGACAAGGTTCCACCAGCAGAATATACAGGTGCCCTAAGGACAAATACCAAACTAGATCATTCAGACTTTGAATTCCCAAACTCCCTGTTTACAGCCCCTTTACCTTTCTTAATGAGTTCTATTCATTTGCAGATTTTTCTTAGGAGGTAAGTGGTGATAAATGTGATCCCCTTGCCAATTCAGGGCAACAAATTTTATGCTATTGAATCCGCTAAGCTTTAGCAAAAGCTCTAAAGGGACAGCACAAATTCCTAAAATATGAATCTAAAGGGCACTGTCTTTGGGGTAAATGCCCCCTTCTCGATCTCAGAACAGCTAGTTTTGGATCAGCCAGAGAAACAGAAGCCTTACAGCTTTTGCCTTCTTCTGCAAATCAACTATTTGGGAGAGCAGGTGTGTGATCTCCTCTTGCTGGCGGGCAGCATCTTCCGTCTTCTTGGCCAGTTCCTCCGAGATACTGGCAATCTGCACGTTGGCATCCCCTTTGACCAAGAAACGACAGTCGCAAGACCCAGAGAGAATGGTTTCTTTGTGGTTTGTCCAAGAAAAAAACATCTTTATTACAAGACAGGGGGGAGTAGTGGAGAGTGCACGTGAAGATGGCTTGGAGGGAGAGTCCCCATCTTCCTATATGGGCTCGGTCTGTCGTGAGGAGGAACCGGCCCACCAGCTGTGGCTCGCAGGCTCTGTGTGGGTCCTCACCCCACTGCCCAGAGCCACCTCCCCAGAGAAAATCGGGCAAGCTTTCGCAGTCAGCCCGGAGGTGCCATACCAAACAGAAGGCGCCTCTGGCCAATTCTGCACGTTCCACACAGGAACACACCCCCATCAGTAACAGGAACCCCTGCTGCACTCTGTTCTAGAAAGGAGCTATTGCCACGCACAACACAATTCCCCTGGGCGTTTTCAACCCATATTCAGAGCCATGACTTATTTTACTAGATTTAAACACAGGGTGTGTTTCATTGACTTAGTGTTTTGCTGACACTCAGAATACTGTGTTGCCCATTTGTCTTAACGTGTAAACTTATAACGGAGAGCGCGGGGGGAAGCACATCGTATTTGCAAAGCTGAGAACTCTGGCCTCAACGTTTACACATCAAATTACTGATACTAAAAGGCTGTTCTTCCACATCTTCAGCTCAGGACTCCGAAGCTGGACCCAACTCAGACATTCGATAACCAATATTCCAGCAGAAAGCCAAAGTTAAAATTAATTTTAATTAATTGCGAGAGACTGGGAATGTATGGCTGACAACACCACACCCGCTGTCTCATACACGAGGGTGAGGGGTGCCACACAAGATCAGGGGAGGCCTCTAGTTTTTGGAAAAAATGCTACTGAGCCCAGGCTGGCAGGAAGACCACACTCTATCAGGTGATGCAAATCCGTCTGGTCTTAATGATGGCAGATGGGGAAAGTAAAAGCGGGGGACAGGAGGGGCAGGGGCAGGCCATACTCAGCTCCTTCACGCAGTCATTGACCAGCTGCTGCTCCTTCTCTTCATAGGTAATAGTCTCCGTCTTCAGCTGGCAGGCCTGTGGACAAGGCTCAGGTCAGAGATCCCACAGTCGCACCTGGACAGCCTGGGGGATGCAGCAAGGGCTAACCTGGGTCTGGAAAGCTGCGCTTCAGCATCTCCCCCCAGCTGTGACCCACTGAGCCCTCAGATATAGAAAGTCAATCCCAACCACTAGAGGGCACCACACAAAGCAGGTGCTAAAACCCTTGCGAGTGCCCCCTCTATCAGTCGGTCTGTCTATTCACGTGTGTCTGTCCTGGCTCACGGTCATGGACCCCCTTGTGACCCAAACAGTGGCTATGACACAGCCCTGCCTACCGTGGGCATTCTAAGGATAACCACCACCACAAGAATGGCTAACACTTATCACACCTACTACGTGCCGGGCACCATCCTCTGAGTTTCTGAGTGGGAGTTAGACCTGTCGTATTCAGCTGAGTAAAAACAGGGTACAATATGAAAGCATTAAAGTTCAGAGACCCAAGAGCTACCCCTCGGACTCTGGATGGCTTTGCTCCTGGCTGAAAAGGTGGGAAGAGATCTGAAGGCCACAAGAAAATGGCCCAGTTAGAGAGGTATCTCTGAGCCCTCAGGTCCTGGCCCCAGAGATGCCATGGTTCTGAAAGCCAGATGCAGGAGCCGGAATGTGTGGCTGGGATCAGATTCCCTCCGCTTGCTTTAGGGGAAGACTCCGACAGAGGGACAAATTGCTGTGTGCCTGGGGCTACAGCATTTACTTGGGGCAGATGCTGGAACTCAGAATGGGGAAAACTGGACTGTAGTCTTGGCTCAGCCACTGCCTGGCAGAGAAAGCTTGGTCGCACTGGGCTTATGTCTCCCATCAGTAAATGAGAGGCTGGAAGAGTTGATGGCTAAGAGACACGAATGACCCTTTCCTCAGGCAGGAGGGCATCCTGTTAAGCCCAGACATGAGGCTCTTTCCAACATGTGAGGCAAGTTCGAGGCGACAGGTGGTCTGCCCTACTGGAGGGACTTTGGGGAACCCCGGGCCAGCTTAGGTGAACATGCAGCCCAAACTTGACGGACAAGGGCCTGATCGATAGGGCTGTACCATACCTCTGGCTAGAGAGCATAAACTCACTGATAATTAAACAAAAAGTACTAAATTTGCATGCATCTGTATTTCTGGATAGGGGCAGTGGGTGAAGGGAAATAATGTGGGGTTTGGAGCCACAGAGACTTACAAACCCTGGCTCTGTTGCTCACTAATTTGCAAGATCTTAGGCAATCAAAACACTTAGTAGCCTGGGTCCCGGTTTTCCCTACTGTAAATGAGAATCAGAGTAACCAGCTTCCAGCCTTGTTGTGAAGATTGTTTAAAGAAGAACGCAGGCAGGGCTTCCCTGGTGGCGCAGTGGTTGGGGGTCCGCCTGCCGATGCAGGGGACACGGGTTCGTGCCCCGGTCCGGGAGGATCCCACATGCCGTGAAGCGGCTGGGCCTGTGAGCCATGGCCGCTGGGCCTGCGCGTCCGGAGCCTGCGCTCCGCAGCGGGAGAGGCCACAACAGTGAGAGGCCCGCGTACCGCAAAATCTGTGATAGATTTTAGAGTTTGCTCTAACAGGATTGAGTTAAACAAGATGGGGACTGCGGGAGTTATCACATAGTATTTACTTAATAAAGGTTTGTTGATTGCCTCATGGCTGATGACTTCAGGTACTTCCAAGGTAAGTGATCTCCTAAGATCCTACAAGTATGGTTTAACAGTACAAAAAAAAAAAAAAAGAACGCAGGCAAAGTACCCACCACAGTGACTAGCCAATCAGAAATACTCAAAAGCACGGGTTTCCAAGCTGCCTCACTCAGTTCAACCTTTTTAAGTTAACTGTCTAAGAAATATGTCTCCAAGTTCTCGTGTACTATTGGGGCACATGTGACCTGCAGTCAAGTGAAAACGAGGCTTTCACACCAGGCCTCCAAGTTACTTCTATGTCCGAGCTGGAGACCACCATGGCAAGGCCCCACTTTCCAGGAGCTTTGGCCCTGACCGAGAAGAAGGGTTTGCCACTCTTACCCATCCTCACGCTGCGTAACTCAGCAGTCCGTCTGCTGCAGCCCGGATAGTATGTGCTGCCCTCTGAAGGCAATGCCCAGCTCATAAATGAGGCAGGCCCTCTGGGCACTTGGTGTGGCTGTGACCCCAGGTCCACATGGCTCTTTCATAGACCATCACCCTGGAGGACGGTGGGGCTGTAATCACTGCTAGTCTCACCAGACGTGCAAAACGGGGCCACCACCCTCGCAGAGGGGACGAGGACAGGGAGCGCACTTCACCTCTGATCGAAGCACAACGTTCTCCTCTTCAAGGTCCTTCAGCTTCTTCTGGAGAGAATCCAGGTGGAAGTAATTCTGGACGGAGGAGGACGACTCATTCCTCTTCAACCTGGGGGACAAAGTTCACTTTCTAGGGAGGGAGGCATTTCCTCCGACCACCTGGCAAGCCATGGAGAAGCACAAAGAAGGGCCGTTTCAAGGAAAGCTCATGAAAGGTGCAGGGGTGACAATGACCCATCAGGCTGCCCCCTCACCACCAGGAAAACAGCACAGGCTTACGGCACTTCAGAGCCACATCCCAACCCTGTGCTGCCACTTTGCCTCAGATTTCGGGGGAACCAACCCTATTTGAAGTCTACACAATCTGGGATGCCTTCTATGTGCCAAGAACTATTTTAAGTACTCTACATGTATGAACCCATTCAGTGCTCACAGCCCTAAGAACTGAGTACTATTATTATGCCCACTTTACAAACGAGGAAACAAGCACAGAGAGGTTAATAACTTGGCCACGAGCCACAGAGCCAAGATCTGAACTCAGGCCATCGGGCTCTGGAGTTCATGTTCCTAATAGGAGACTCTGCTGACTCAGAGAAGCCCCTCCCCCCAGGCACCCCCCAAGGACCCACCACAGCACTGCTGGCTCCAGAACCCTGTATTTCCTCCAGATGCAGAGTCCAGCTTGTTACTCCTTAACAGCCAGGCCAAACCAATCTGAACCGACAAACAAGCAGTAAGACCCAGGAAGAGGAAAACTAAAATCCCATCAGAAAAGGAAAATCCATCTGTCGGAGGCACTCAGAGATGTCTGGCCTCCAGAAGGCTGAGAGCAGCTGACCTGTGCTGCCAGTGAAGGTGATGCTGTCTAGGCAACTCCAAGCACGTGGAGCACAGCCAGCCAGTGCTCCGGCCTCTAGAGACAGGCCCTTGGGTGACTTACGGGGTGGAGCACACAGACTCCGGCTCGCTCTCCTCTGCGGCGCTGGTGTAGAACTGAAGCAGCTCATCCTTCATGGACAGTTCATGCCGGAGCTGTGACACCTGCACAGACACAGCCCGTCACGCGCTCTCTCAATGTGACAGCATCCCCACTCGTGCTTAAACACTTATTGCTCACCGACAACATTTTCTAAATTCCTCATTCAAAGTGAAGGCATGTCACCAGATTCTGTGCTATTCAAGGGAAACAAAGGGCTGAGTTTGATCCCATTTAAGAAAAATACAATCAATTACTTTTTGGCAAAAATCCCTCTGTTTAAATTTGTAGTTTTTACTTTGGTACAAAGAAGAGGTGAGAGGGGACTAGAAGGTGCTAGAATGATGGCTGGGGCAGGGGGGCGGCAAGACAGCATAGGAGGGGCTTTGCAAGTAAATGGATGACCAGCTGAGAAAACACTCAGAGAAGCGGACCATGTTACCATATGGAGGAAGAGGCCATTCACTTCTGCCAAAACCAAATCCCATCTCGGACCAGGACCCCTGGTGACGTCAGTTCCGGGTGGGCAGCTACAAGCAGCGAGCCCGTCAACCCTTGTTCTCCCGCTTGGAAAATCTCATAGCGCCACCTTGTGACTGCTACACCCTCACAGGAATTCTGGCCAAGCTCGGCCAGACCTTGCTCTGTACTCAATGATTACAAGATAGGCATTCCAGATACGGGAAGAAAAGAGGCGACCATGAGGAACTACTCTGCAAGCATGGTTCTGCAAGTCGCACTTATTTATACTGCAGGTTTAAAATAAACAAACCTGAGCCATAAAAATTTTCACCTGCCCTTTCACCATTCAGCACCGATGAATAGGCAACCAGCACTGTAAGCGAGGATTATAATTGTTTTAATTCTTTCTTGTTTCTAATTTGATTTGGGGTCTATAGTTTATCCCAACTTTCCTACACAACACCGTGAATATATTTTATCTTCCATGGAGAAACCAGTTTTATGTGCGTAAAGGCTTCGGCTTCAACACCTAGACTGATCATTTAATGATGTGCCAAAGGGAAACAGTTTTCAAACTCCAAGGTTTCCCAAGGGGACAAAAATTCACTTCCACCCCCAGGTGCAGGATGCACTTTGTGTGAGGAAAGGAAGCCCCAAGCAAGGGCGGCACCCTGGAGAAGCAGCGTGTGAGGGGCGACGGGTGACCATTTACTGGCTCCTGATGGCATATGTCCCTCTGCTCAGAAGGGGCCAAGTAGGGGGCCAGGCTGACCCTTCTCCCATACTTGGGAGAAGGGAGATTCAGGCCATGATGCTGGAGGCCGGGAGAGCAGGGGTCAACTTTATTTCTCCTTGAACACGACCGTATCTTACCTCATCACCTTGTAAAGAAAGCCCAGGATTAAAACTTGTCTTTATACAGTGCTGTACATCAATTATAACTCAGTAACACCGGAAGGGGAAAAAAAACAATAAAAATTACAATAAACCCTTAAAAAAGCTTTTTCTTATCGAGTGGCTACTCCGTTTCATCACATTAAGTGATCGGTAAACCCAGACGACAATAGCTGGGAATATCTTTAACGAGGAAAAAGTCTGAATACGTCTTAGGGACATAAATAAGGGCATCCCCGTCGCCCCCCCGCCGCCACTAAGCAAGTTTCTGACAGAAAATAAGGGAGAAGAAATGAGAAGAAGGAAAGCCAATCAAAGTCCTCACAGTTCAGATTCACTGTTCAAGGGCCAGTTAGGGGGCCTCCCTGGTGGCGCAGTGGTTGAGAGTCCGCCTGCCGATGCAGGGG